TCCTCGTTCACCTGAAAAATAAAGTTGAAAAATATTGATATGATACTCTTTTGTCCCAAAATATTTGCCAGAAGGCACCAAATCATTCATACCCCCAGTCCCGGGAGGTTGGCGCCGCCACTGCTAATACAAAGCCCCAAATCACAGTCAATTTGTACGGTGCAATTCGACATTATTGGTGCAACAAGATGGCTGTCTCAGGTCCAATCTTTGTTCAGAACTAGAAAAAAACAGTGTTTGTAAGAGTTACTTTCCTTCTAGTGAGATACAATTGCTTACCCCTCCCTGTCACGTGACAGGTGGTTGGATTGCTTTTGAGGAAAAGTTTTGGTGAAATAATATTTTGTAATACCGCGACGTAGTGCATATGGACGCAAAGATCCTGAACCGAATCAATGATGCATTTATTAGAGGATCAGTTGACACTGAACTCTACAGTATGCTTAATAGAAACTCAACTTAACTAGAAATGAAATGGAGTTTTACGCCCTACTTTTCTACACCATCAACTTGGGTTAAACCAATTTAATCAATTTCGTTTCTGTTTTTCTGATATTTATCGTCTCCATTGTAATCCAAAAACAACAATAACAAGAAGGAAGTTTAGTAGAGTGTTTACAATAACAAGAAGGAAGTTTAGTAGAATGTAAACAATAAATAAAAAGACGTTTAGTACAGTGTAAACAATAACAAATAGGGAAGTTTAGTAGAGTGTGAACAATAACAAGAAGGAAGTTTAGTAGAGTGTAAACAATAACAAATAGGGGCGTGCAGGAGAGTGTGAACAATAACAAGACAGGAGTTTAGTAGAGTGTGAACAATAACCGATAGGGGAGTGTAGCAGAATGTGAACAATAACAATAAGGAATTTTAGTACAGTTTAAACAATAACAAATAGGGGAGTATAGCAAAATGTGAACAATAACAAATAGGGGAGTGCAGCAGAGTGTGAACAATAACAAGAAAGGAGTTTAGTAAAGTGTGAACAATAACAAGAAGGAAGTTTAGTAAAGTGTGAACAATAAAAAGAAGGAAGTTTAGTAGAGTTTGAACAATAAAAAGAAGGAAGTTTAGTAGAGTGTGAACAATAACAAGAAGAAAGTTTAATAGAGTGTGAACATAACAATTTATGGAGTGGATTAAGAGTGACAAAGGACGAAGAAAGATGGAAATGAAACGGACAAGCGGGGTGAAGGGGGAAGTAAAGATGAAGGAGCAGGAAATCAGGAACGAGACAGGAAGAGTGAAGTAGGGGGAGAACAGATTGTAACTTAGATAGACAGTGAAGAAAACAATGGTATAGAGGAAGAGATAGATTAAAGGGGAAGGGACTTTATAGTGTTTAACTGAGAAAGAGTAGGTATATAGAGAGGAAGAGTTGAATGAACAGAGGGGGAATACTGGACAATGGGACTTTCTCTTAAATTGAGAGGTACTTAATGTACCTCCGTGCAATGCTTTGACTAAAGGGAGGGAATTCTTTGCAATTTGATTTGACCACTGCAGCGGCTTTTAAGAATTGTTTTAAGCATATTTTTGATGTTTGTTTACAACATTATCTACTCAGTTGCACCACCCATGATAAGTCTTTGGAGTACTGTAATTCGAAGCATTGCACGGAGGTACATTAAGTATCTCTCAATTTAAGAGAAAGCCCCTTCGTCCCATATTTCCCCTCTTTCTTCCTCTATTAAATCTTTTAAAGTCTTTCCCCTTTTAACTGTCTCTTCCTCCGTACTCTAATACCATCGTTTTCTGCCCTGTATCCCCCCTTGTCTATCTAAGTTACCCTCTGTTCTCCCTAATACTTCACTATTCCTGTCTAGTTGCCGATTTTTCTGATTCCTTCCTTTTCACTACACCTTCCCTATTTCACCCCCACTTTCCCGTTTCTTTCTCTCTCTTCTTCCCTAGTATCTTCGTCCTCTGTCACTCTTAATCTACTCCATAAACTTCCGTCATTATCTTGCGATCATTGAAAGACTTCTTTCCTACATCAGGCAGATTAATCGTTAAAAATGACAATATCTTCAAACAGATGAATGTTCCTGTAGCTTTCAGAATACATTGCTTTATCCCGAATCCTTAAAATTCATATCCTTCTTCCTTCCAATCTACTCACTCTACTGCACTTTCCTCTTGTTATTGTTCCACTCTACTAAACTCCCCTATTTGTTATTGCAACACTCTACTAAACTTCCCTCTTGTTATTGCAACACTCTACTAAACTTCCCTCTTGTTATTGTTTACACTCTACTTAATTCCCCTTTTGTTATTGTTCCACTCTACTAAACTTTTCCTCTTGTTATTGTTTCACTATACTAAACTTTTCCCCATGTTTTTGTGCCACTCTACTTAACTTTTCCCCTTCTTATTGTTCCACTCTACTAAACTTCCCTCGTGTTATTGTTTCACTCTACTTAACTTTTCCTCTTGTTATTGCAACACTCTACTTAACTTTTCCTCTTGTTATTGTTACACTCTACTAAACTTTTCCCCTTCTTATTGTACCACTCTATTAAACTTCCCTCTTGTTATTGCAACACTGTACTAAACTTCCCGATTGTTATTGTACCACTCTATTAAACTTCCCTCTTGTTATGGTAACATTCTACTAAACTTCCCTCTTGTTATTGCAACACTCTACTAAACTTCCCTCTTGTTATTGCAACACTCTACTAAACCTCCCTCTTGTTATTGTTCCACTCTACTAAACTACCCTCGTGTTATTGCAACACTCTACTAAACTTCCGTCTTGTTATTGCAACACTCTACTAAACTTCCCTCTTGTTATTGTACCACTCTACTAAACCTTCAGCTTGTTATTGTGCCATTTTACTAAACATTTCTTCTTGTTATTGTTTTACTCTGATAAAGTTCAGTATTTATTTTTCTGTCTACTCTCCCCTATCTCTTTCTGTTCTTTGTACTTTTTCCCATGTTTTCACTTTCAAAAAATTCAGAGACCTCGACAGAAAGTCTGTAAACACTAATTATTTGCATTCTTCCTGTCGGGGTCTCTGATTGGCTGTAATCCAATCAAATAACTGCATCACGTGATATAAGAAAGGTGGCTATAGAAGTCAAGGTATAAGTCGTAATAGCTTGACATTGTGAAGATGGTCCCAACTCGGCCTCTCTACCTCTATTCATAGAAACTAAACTGAGTTCCGTATCATCGGTTGTTCTACTCAACATGTACATGTCGACGTATATTGCCGTAGCTCCTGTCCGTCGATCTGTTGGTCTATTAACAATAGAGACATATATTGGTGAAATCTTAGACAATTTCGAAATTGAAGATTTTTCGAAAACGGTTTTTGAGTTAAAACCTTGACTTGGTCAAAAAATTGTCAGAATGTGTTAGTGAACTCAATAGATACTACAGTTTTTATTTGATTTTAGGGAAATTTAGAGTGATCAACTGTATTGATGGGATCTGAATGCAATATGAGCTAAACGTTTTCATTTCTTTATCCTTTCATGGAATCGAAAATATCTCGGATGAGTTCAATTTGACAATTTATCGATGAAACTTCTGGGTTTTAAATCCCCACCGTCCTACGTTAAGATAAGTATGGTTTATTTTATCGCAGATTTCATTCTACGAAAGGAAACATATTCAATTTCGCAGAATTTTTGGTGACGTCAATATTAGATTTCGGGGAAGGGAGGGTTTGATTCTCCCAAATGTACAGGCCTAGGGTGGAGCAGACACTTTATTTAGAAATTAGGATTAAGGGTCTTGATATTGAGTTTTCTTCTGTTCTTATTCTGATCTGAAATTAGAAAAAATAACTCACCCAATGGGCGAGAAGTATAGTATCTGTTATGTGCTGATTGTTTTTAGTTTACTATCATTTAAGTTCTTATTTTTTGAATATGCAACTATCATTTTCTGCTTATAGACATGGGGGAATTTCTCTTGAAGGCTCTTATAGTGGACATGAACTATCTTGCTTGCTCGATTGCTGGTTTATTAAACGGGACAACAAAGGGTGCTATGCCTACATTATGATGAATATTTAGTCCTATAGGTCTTGCTGTATTCAATGTCCGACAGAGTGAAAATTTTAATGTTTCCTGTCATAGTATGAAAATTAAAGTATACTATTTCTAGCGCAAATTTTTATTAGCCGTAGGGTGGCTGGGTTTTGAAGCAATTGTCTTAGTAAAAAGGCGTCAATACTTAAGCAATGAAAGATGGACCCAATGCAGTTACGGTGATATGAATACATTGGGCAAGGTGCCAAATTGAATGAGCTGCCGAAGGCAGTCATGATAAATTTGGCACCTTGACCAATGTATTCATATCACCGTAACCGCAGTGGGTCCATCGTTCATTGCTTATATTTCCACTGTCTAATGTATTCTTTTCATGAAGTTTCCGATTGATAAATTATATTTCAAAAAGATTGCCGTTACAAAAATAAGGACTCAACAGCAGCCATATTGCTCAGGAATGTGACCACGTGACCCACTGCAGTTTACGCGAATTTGAATGCATTTCTTGTCACAGGGTTCACTGTGACAAATACAGTGAGAGTGGAAATATTTGTTTGTGAGTATTGTGGCACCATAAAAGCTACAGTTTTCGAACTACAAATGCATTATAAAGATCTTAAATATGAGAAAATTCGTATTTTAGCCACTAATGACTCTATTATTGTTTCTGACAGCTGCCAGTGGGCGTATTTTAAATTGCCCGGCAAACTATGTTTTGTTTATTCTAAGAGGCCTTTAAATTCACTGATGAATATATACACTTATTAGGACAGGTTGAGAATTCAAATTTTATTTTTCCCTTTATAACCCTTGCATTGAATTAACGGTTTGTAATATCCATATAAGGTTATCATCATTTCTATCAATATCCCTTACTAACTCCTGACTGTCACGTGACCTAGACGAATATTAACATTCTGTAGTATAAAAAGACATATATATTTATAGATTATCTAATAAAACACACAGAACGCCGGTATCACACCTTACACAGCATGCCGGATTACAAACTTCATTATTTTGATACTCGAGCTAGGGCCGAGGTCGCAAGGATCCTATTTGCCGCAGCCGGACAACCTTTTGAAGATGTGCGATATACACCTGAACAGTGGGTTGTGTTCAAACCAAGTAAGTAAGATTTTTTTTCACCGTAAAGGGATGGAGCATTTTCTAAATTAGATTCTGGGATAAAAAAAATTATGATAAAATTCTATTAGCTTGACAATTCTGACACTTTACATGTTTCTCGAGCGGTCTTGGTCGGTGATTTTTGTCACCGATTAGAATCTTAAGTAAAATCTCGCGAGTGCCCGTACTTCCACGACAAGATTATTGCGTCCCCGATAGGATTTATATTACTTCTTGTCTCCAATACTTTTATCGTCTGCATTACAGACCATCATCATCCAATCAGATTCATTTTCCTTTCAATTGCATGCTCCGCAAGTAATCATCGACATGATTGAAAACGACCGACTGGAGACTTTGCCCCTAAGAGAAACTTTTGCCAAGATTCAAATCGACAACAAAAATCTCCGACCACGACTATTCGTTTGCCCGCACCTTTAAGCTTAATATAGACTTGACAGTTTCAGTGTCAGGGCTTCCTTTCTTATCTAGAAGTAAAAACCATTTCTCATCAGCACAATCAGGTGTCGAAAAGAAGGACGTAAAACTTCATTTATCTGGATAAGGAAATTTGTGATGTCGACGAATTGAGAATTATTATTGTTGGATAATCATGTTTTAGTTTTAATGGAGTCGGTCTTGAAGGATGAAAATTCATAAAAACAAAATAAACTATTTGAATAGTCAAACAGAGTATTTGCTCAACGATTAGGCTATTCGTGTCATATTTAAGTGATGTTTTAGTATATAGAAATTTCTATAAAATCTCTTTACACTGCTCTGTTATAATAGGTTTATCTTGTTTCACAACAGTTGTAGCTTCTACAGTCGTGATTTTAAACGAATCCTCATATATTACGATAAATCCATTAAACTAATAAGTCATTTTTAAAACACGCTATTTCACTATTGTATTTACAGAGACTCCATTTGGACAGCTACCATGTTTAGAAGTTGATGGAAAACTTTATGGTCAGTCTAATGCTATCAATTCTTATTTAGCTCGAAAGTTTGGTAAGTTTAATGTACCTTCCTGAACCACGTGTACTGACCAAAAGTTGTGGTGTGGGAGTCTCACTGAGTCCTTGCCCATTTAGTTTTGTTTTCCGTTCTGTATAGTTGTTTGTAGTCCGACCTAACGGCGTCAATTGATAGTCCATTTTTTAAGGCGAAATTAAAATTAGACTAAACTTTCGTTCCGTTTTTTGTTAGCTATTGTTTTTAACATAGCCATTTTAATATAGCCACTTTAGCGTGTGTCTTAAGAGGCCAGTCTTTAGACCCAAACTGGCTATATTACAAATAAAAGCTAATAAAAAGAACGGGGGGACAGTGTGGTATAATAACTTCCATAACTTTGCTGAGTGAGGACATAGACTCATTGACAGTAAGTTTAAATGCTAGTAGTTATGAATAGGAACCATTGTCCCATTTGTGGTAAGTTTGGTATTTCTCAATATAGGCCTACAAGTCCTCACAAAATCTTATATAAAAGGGGGGGGGGGGGGTGTCAGTGTTCTTGTTCAGGCCTCCCTAACAGGTAAGTAAAGGTTTTATAAGCCTTTGAATGGATTGTCAAGAGGTTTTCTAAAAAAGTTTGTATCGGTGACACTGATAGCACCAATTTGTATCATTTCGATTACCAATTTGTGATTCCTGCAATTACTGACGCTATCAAACATTTAGTGTTCGTAGAATTTCAGGAGCCACAAAAACCTGATTGAAAATAGGAATGGCGCAAATTGATGCTATCAGTGTCCCCGATATAAATACACAAATTACAAAACGTCTTTACAATCCCTTTAATCTAAATCAGGGACACATTGAATTCATATCATTCAAATTTCCACAGCAACGACTAGGTTTCCTGTTACGCAACAGGAAATGATGTTTCTTCACCGTAGCCATGTGGACTCGGACCACAGAAATTTTTGTACACATTTTTTTTATATTTTTAGGATTCCATGGTAAAACCAATATAGAAGCTTTACAGATAGATGTAGTTATTGGTGTTCAAAATGATTTAACGAGCGTCATGATCAAATATTTTACAGAAACTGATGAACAAAAGAGGGTATGAACTTTGCCTTTATATAAAATCATTCGTTTAATTCAAGGCCTTGGGACCCTCATCAACAAGGGTTTGCTATGTTTTTTGCAAGTCGTGGTATAATTACCTAAAGGTTTATAGCATCTTCACAATATCCAGCCATTACGAAATTCATCTTATACTTTGACTGCAATAACCACTTTTCTTGAACATTATCGCGTTAACAACAGGATTATGTTATCGGCTGCAAGAGAAAGTTTTATCATCAGATTTTCTTTCAATTGCACGAACCGCACGTGATTATCGACATAGTGGAAAACCAACCAATTTTTGCCACCAAGCCGGATTTGGTGCAGAAAATTAGATCTTGAAAAATTATTTCATTTCCAACAACCCCAAATTCATTGATTGATTGATTGATTGATTGATTGATTGATTGATTGTTGGTTGGTTGATTGATTGATTGATTGATTGATTGATTGATTGATTGATTGATTCATTCATTCATTCATTCATTCATTCATTCATTCATTCATTCATTCATTCATTCATTCATTCGCCGAATACGTTATCAATGTAAAACTCCGTTTCATTTGATTTCAGAAAGAATTGAAAGAAAAATTATTGAAGGAAGATGCCCCAAAATTCTTGGGAAATTTTGAAAAGTTACTTCAAGATAATGGATATTACGTGGGTAATTCGGTAAGTATAGAAACATCATGATTTCTAGTCTGACAAATCTATCTTTACCCTAAGGGATACCGTACCCCTGGAGTGTATTGTTGAACTGTGTGGGGCAAAGAGACATTGTAGTATACCCGAAATGTCTTGATAGACTCACGAATGGCTCAGATACCAAAAGTTATGTAAAATTTGGCTTTTGTCATGGAGAAAATGTTCATAAATGGATCGAAGCCAACTCTCATTACACGTCACCCGAAGTAGCGTTTCTATAAAGCATTAGGGGGAGGGGCCGAGGCAACTCAAAACTCAATGGTTTGAAATTTCAAACTTGGGCTGTGGGTGGGGCTTTTGGTTTGGGCAAAGGCCGGGCCAGTCAAAATGCCCTCTGGCCCCCGGTAAAAACGCCAATGATCGCCCGTCTAGCCCTAACCGTGACGATATCACATCTTTTATAAGCATGTTATGATCAATGCCAAGAGGTTTGGCCAAGAACTAACTGGTAGGCAGGATCTACATAGTGACACAAGCGTTATGGATCAGTCGTCTCTATATCGCACAGCGCGTAACTTTGAGTAACAACATGTTTCAGGTTCTGTTTTACTATTTCTTATCTGGCAATGGTATATTTTCAGGTTACAGTAGCGGAGATAGCTGTAAATGATCTGATAGATTATCTTTTACTTGAAAATCCTGACGTTTTAAAATCTTACACCAAGTTAACTCAGATGCGTAAAAATCTCGAGGCTCATTCCAAGATTGGACCATATTACAAAATTCGGAAATAGATTAATTCATGGTCGTTATTTCAGAATAAAGTTTTATAAAATTCCTTATTCCTTATGTGTATAGTATTATATAGATTATAATATAGGACTCACTCCACTAAAACATTTTATATTTTTAGAAATCTTATTTCTCTCTCTATTTTGGTTTTTGCATGCCTATTTTTGGGCAATTTTGGGTCAAGATTTGGAATTTGATATTTGAAATTGCATTATCTTTAAGATTTGGTGAGATGATGAGAGACCTAAAGGCGGAAGGTTAATTCTAAAAATAGTCAAGTGAAGTGCCAAACTCTAGCGGATGAGTATAACCGGTAGTAGTCTACTTTCAATTTTAGTAGCTCAAAATTTTCATGGTCATCATATAATGAATTTTTTAGGAGACATTGAGAATTGGTAAGGTTTTCATTCGACATAGTGGAAATCTTTCAACGAGATTTCTGGAAAAAGTTGTAGAAGGTTGAATTTCGTGTTTTAACATGGGAAGAGTTGGCAAATGAATAAGTGGAGTGAGTCCTGTCTAGCTCTACAGGTCATGAGATAGTCTATATAAAAAAAAAACGAAAGTAGAGTTTCCTCTGTTACTATAAATAAAGTTTATATTTTAAAATCGTTCTATATTCTTTTTCATTTCCCTATAAGCTCAAAATCTTTAGACAGTTAAAATATAAAACTATGGATCCTTTCATAATCCGACAAATTTATACAACTTCAGTAATTTTTGATAAACGTTTAAAAATATTGAGCGTTTTTTAATAACTATTTTTATTCTGAGGAATAATTACTTATTTTTATGAATAATTACTTAGTTTTATGAATAATTACTTAGTTTTATAGATTTATAGATTTATCTGATTATACAGGGATTCTGTTGTGTAGTTATGATACCAGGTGAGTCTACTGATGAATATATATTACTATTGGAATTTGAAACCATGTTCATTCTAAAGGCTTGATCAAATACTCTGATGAATGAACTACCTTGACCTTGATGGAAAACTTTGATAGTGACATTGGACAATATTCCTTTATATCTCTTATAATAACAAAAAGTATTTATCCCTGTAGAGAGCTATATAAATAACTATATAGAAATCTCCATTAACCTATACTCGCTGTGTCACGTGACCTCGGTGAATATTGACATTCTTTAGACTATATAGATATAGGTTATCACATTAGAAACATCAAACTCTGATACGGCAACATTCAAACAGCATGCCGAATTACAAAGTTCATTATTTTGATTCTCGTGGTCGGGCCGAGATAGCCCGGATCCTACTCACTGCAGCAGGACAGCCTTTTGAAGATGTACGATACACAAAAGAACAGTGGGCTGAATTCAAGCCAAGTAAGTATGATTATTTTTATTGAGAATGACACAGCATTTTCTTAATTAGCTTCTAGTCAATTATAATACAGTTCTACTGCCACTATTCCAGCCAAAATTACGTTCTTGTTTGTTGTTAATGCAATTATCTATTTGATTTTTGCGTGATTAGTTGTGCAGTACGGTACGGTAACAATGCGGACGCCAGACCACGTTTAAATGATTCTGCCGAAGTCAAAATGAATGAAAAGTCAAGTCTTTCTTTTCTCAAAGTAAACATTCCGCATTAGCCTAATAAGAAAGACGTAAAACTTCATATTCTATAATTTTTCGGAAATTAAAAGGACAGATGCAGCATATTTTGTGGTTGATTTGGACTTTGAATATATGTAAATAGTCTTCAAAACAACTGAAACTGTACGAAAATCGAATAATTCCTTCAAATAGAACTCAAACAAAATTTAACTTTTTATTCATTTCGTTCACAAGCTTATCTTCTTTTTGAAATTTGTGGTATCCGAAAGTTGAACGTCTGTTTGATATAGTCTTTAACACAAAGACGTCCGTCGTAGCTGTGAGTAAACGTAGTGGGACAGGATAACTGAGTCTATTGTATACACAATTGACATGACGTCAATATTCACAATAAAAAATCTCTTAAAATGACGACTCGTTAAAATAACTTTCAACATAGATAATTATGGACGCAACTGTCCCTTTAAGGATATTTTTTATGTCAACAAATTCGGATTGCTTAATTTTGTGAAATTTCAGTGAAAACCGGTTTCAAGAATTGGCTGGATAATATCCACGTTTTAGACATTTTAGACTCGACACATAACGATATTTTCCTCGTTTAATGAATATTGAATTGAAATGATTCAATTGAGCGTGAAATTGTAAGGGTGTTGATCATATAGGATGCCAATGTTAAAAAGAAAAACTAGCTCTTAGAATGGACATAAATTTTAAAATCTCAAACTTGGCCAATAAGAGTATATTATAATATTTAGTTGATATTACCTGGTGTCCTACCTATACAACAGAATCCCTGTATAATCAAAAAAATACATAAAACTACAAGCAATTAATCCATACTTTGGGTATGTATAAGCCTTTTGGAATAATTGCTTAGTTTTAAGTATATATGATATAATTAATATACTCTTATCGGTCAGGTTTAAGAATTTAAATTGTGTGTTCATTCAAGATAGTATTCCTTTATAAACTATTTGAATTGTCAAATATAGTATTTAGACGATGACTATTCAGGACTATTTATGTCATGGTGTATTATATAGAAAGTTATATTGAATGTTTATATACCATATCCTATTATAATGTTATAATGATATCGTCTTTCACAATAATTCTATCTTCTACAGTCCTGGATTTGAAACTTAATTCATAGTTTATAAAACTTGGCCTGAACATAGTCCGAAACATCTGCCCATATTTCAACCTTATATAGCTTTTGACAGTTGTCAGCCGGGGTAGGGTCAGAAAAACGTTTATGGGGATTTTCCGCATCTGCAAACATACTAGGTGTTGAACATATTCATTTGCATCGTGTCCATCAAAGCCACATTTGTGTTGTCCCGGCAATCTATAGTAAAGCACTTAGTCATTTATCTTAATTGTATTTTCAGAGACTCCATTTGGACAGCTACCATGTTTAGAAGTTGATGGAAAACTTTATGGTCAGTCTAATGCTATCAATTCTTATTTAGCTCGACAGTTTGGTAAGTTATAATTTAATTTACTTTACAACGCGGGGCAATGGAAAGGTGCTAGACCATTCCACATCTTAACAGCGCTTGTGTTTTCTAATCGCATCATCATGATAGCAATCTAGTATTAAATACCAGGCGCGGTCTTAGACAGTGAGGAGTATAAATTGCTGTAAATAATTATCCGAGTACTCAGAGACAATGTTGGTCGAGGCCCTGCATCGTGCAGTCACACGAGATAATGTAGTTTTAAATATGTGTCACTGTGTTGCATAGCCTGAGATAAATCAAATGCTCCCACAGAAAAGTGAATGTTCCCGTGGACAGACTCATCTTTACATCATTTATACTTTTCTTCTATCACTGAAGTTTGTAAATGTAATGATTTGATTGAATTATACATTAGCGATTACAACCAATCAGAGACCTTGTTATCTACAAACCAACCGATAGTGTACCTCCGATGATAGATCTATATTATATGTATCTTAGCAGGGATTGACAATTTATAACACTCTAAAATCCCGAGCAATGTGTGTAATTACTGTATCGTAACCGGATATGACGTGTCTATCACAAAGTCATGTTAACTGGTCCGCTGTTGTGTTTGCTTACTGCTACAATAGCGGCGTGAAACTTTAAATGAAATGGCGGACCAGTTAATGCGACATGTGAACTCAGACCACAATAATTATTACACGCATTTGTTTTTTTTTGTGTTTTATATTCTAGGATTATATGGTAAAAATGATCTGGATGCCTTACAGATAGACGTGGTCGTTGGTGTTCAGAATGATTTCGCTACCGTCATGATCAAAATATTTTATGAAAGTGATGAAGCTAAGAAGGTTTGATCTCTGATTTTATGCAGTAACTTCCGTCGAATTCGTGCCTGTCTTACAATTTAATTTCTATTGGCGCACACCGTCACATTAAAGCTATCGTGCTCTAATTAAGCTAAACTTGATTATTAAACAAATATCATGTGACAGTATATCACGTTAGAAATATGGAACATGGGAAACAACTCTAGACGGACTAAACTCCCCCTCATTCAACCTGGAGACATTAACTAATATATTTTCAACGAACCCACCAACTTTATCTACTTTAAAAGAACGACTTAGAACTCTATTTCATTTGATTTCAGAAAGAATTAAGAGAGAAATTAGCCAAGGAGGATGCCCCAAAATTCTTGGGAAATTTTGAAAAGTTACTTCAAGATAATGGATATTACGTGGGTAATTCGGTAAGTAAAGTTACTTGACCATTTTACAAACTTTATTGGCGTGGTCGTCTTTCCGGAGTTACTGTTCCAGGTTGAAAGTTCAAAGAGTCAGTCACATTAAAATACACAATCAATATTCTCGTAAAAAATTATCCTAAAATATTTTGATAAACGCGTCATTGGGAAACGCAGCAGGACATACACGCCCCTCCTTTTAGAACACCACCTTTGCCAGTCACTGTTGCAAACGTAAACAAAATAAAATTGATGTATTGAGCACTTTTTAAGCAGTGAAAATGTTTAATCATTGCAATCTGCATATTATGGAAATAGCAATAATAAAATATTTTCACTGTTAAAATTGTGCTCAATACATCAACTGTAGACTGATATAAAAATATTAAAACAGAATCTGAAACATGTTATTTCTATTATGGAAATTGTATATTTTCAGGTTACATTAGCGGAGATAGCCGTCAATGATATTTTAGAATATCTATTAATGGAAAATCCTGACGTTTTAAAATCGTATCCCAAATTAACTCAGATGCGTAAAAATCTGGAGGCTCATCCCAAGATTGGACCATATTTGAAAAACCGAAAGTAGAAATCTGGTTATTATTATTATTTAAGAATAAAGTTTACATTTGAAATTTCTTTGTTATTTGTCTTACCTCATCTATATGTTTCACATTAAGAACAAACTTTATACTAACAATACAAATTATGGGATAGCGAAACCTGAAGTAGAGTAATATGACATCATCTTTGTGTTGCTATCCCACAATGTGAAATCGGTATCTAGACACGATTTCTTTGGTTAAAACTAGCGTCATTAGAACGGTTGCTAAATGACAATGGAGACAAAAATGAAATAAAAAAAAATAGCTCGAAAAAACGTACGAAACGGAATTGTTATCCCATAACGTCGATTTATCCAATGATGGTTAGTAAGTTGTTGATTTGTAAAACACTTCTACCCGACATAGCTCTTAAACGGCCATCTTGGAGGATTATTGCCGAGTGTTTTATGTTAAATTCTAATAGAAGATAACTAAAATTAGAGTTTATTATAGAAAGTCAGCTGTTCTGGATTGATAAAGTAATTACAAAGTAATAGTCTATAGATGACAGTGATATTGGGTTGGAAGTCGTGGTTGTTGGTGTTCGTGGTAGTTGGCAGTCGTGGTAGTTGATAGCCACGATAGTCGGTGGTCGTGGTAGTTGATATTCGTGGTAGTCGGTGGTCGAAGTAGTTGGTAATTGATAATCGTAGTAGTTCGTGGTAATTGGTAGTCGTTGAAGTTGGTGGTAATTGGTAGTCGTAGTAGTTGGTGGTAATTGTAATTGGTAGTCGTTGTTGATGGTAATGGTGATTTGTAGTAGTTAGTGGTAATGGTAGTTGGTAATCGTGGTAGTTGGTAATGGTAATTTGTAGTCGTGGTAGTTGGTGGTAATGGTATTGGTAGTCGTAGTAGTTGGTGGTAATGGTTATTGGTAGTCATAGTAGTTGGTGGTAATGGTAATTTGTAGTGTTCGTAGTTGGTAATTAGTAGTCATGGTAGATTGTGGTCGTGGTGGTAATTGGTATTCGTGGTAGTTGGTAATGGTAATTGGTAGTCGTGGTAGTTGGTGGTAATGGTAGTTGGTAGTTGTTGTAGTTGGTGGTAATGGTTATTGGTAGTCATAGTAGTTGGTGATAATTGTAATTAGTAGTCATGGTAGATTGTGGTCGTGGTGGTTATTGGTATTCGTGATAGTTGGTAATGGTAATTGGTAGTCGTAGTAGTTAGTTGGTAGAAATGGTAATTGGTAGTCATAGTAGTTGGCGGTAATGGTTATTGGTAGTCGCTGTAGATGGTGGTCATGGTGGTAATTGGTTTTCGGGGAAGGTAATGGTAATTGGTAGTCGTAGTTGGTGGTAAATGTGGTAATAGGTAGTCGTGGTAGTTGGTGGTAATGGTAATTGACAGTCGTGGTAGTTAGTGGTAATGGTAATTGGTAGTTGTGGTAGTTGGTGTTGATCGTAATTGGTAGTCGTAGTAGTTGGTGGTAATGGTAGTTGGTAGTCGTAGTAGTTGGAGGTAATGGTAATTGGTAATCGTTGGTTGGTATTTTACTTTACTTTACTTCTTCATGAATAATCATCCAAAGATACTCATTATCAGTCTATCACTCCAACCTCAGGCTTGATGATCTGTATGGATCAATTGATTAAAACATTTCAGAGGAATAATTTTGCAACATGATTATTTTGTCCCAAGTGTGTAATTTTAAATTGCAGGATTTCGTGCAGATATTTCCGATTTCATCGCAATCAATAATCCGTGGAATTAAAGTGTCAAAAAGTAGGCGATGCGTAAGTCATTCATTAAGACTGGTGACAAAGGTAAAGTAATCTCGACTACTGGACTCAGTTGTTGAGGCGGTTGATCGCCAACCTGGAGGTCTCTAAATTGACATGCCTCTGAGAGTTTAGATCTGGTCATCTTCACAATGCCAAGGTGTAGTAATACCTTGACATAATTAGCCACCTCTTCTTGTATCACAGAAGATTCTTATTTCAGCGATGTGATTGGATTATGCGCTAGTGTGTACAACCAATCATAGCCATTTATTACACGAGCAGTCATATTGTTCAAGACGTTCAGTCGAGGAATCTGATTGGCTGTATTCGCTAGTGTACAATCCATTCAAACATTCATGCATTTACCTGCGTGATACAAGAAAGGCGAAAAATATTGTCAAGGTATTAAACGATGTTCGACTCTTCTAGTTCGTTAATGGCGATAAATGGAAATTTTTCTGCATGCACCATTTAGTATGAAATTACAAACTTACTTCAGATTATGATGTCGCTATCATTTAAGCAAAAAGGCTTTTAAGTTTATAGAAATTGTGACCATAAAATTTATGTTAGAGATATTAATGTCTTTCTGATATCTTGCATCTGACATTAGCCCCCTAGATAAATGATTTGCACCCCAATTGTGTAACAAACTTTTATACGTTTTTGCCCAAAATATGTGTCAGAATGCACCAAATCAATCCAAATTTTCGAACACTCTCAGATGCTCCTTAGGAGGCTTGCAAACTATGACGCCTCTTTTACGGGATTGATTTGACTCTTGAATATATATAAATAGTCTTCAGAACTATAAGTAATGTACGAAAACTACATAATTAATTCAATGAAAATCAAACTAGAAATTTCTTTTCCTGTTGCTTTGCTATATATGGCAGTGTCTCAAAAAAGACGAATCGTCTTTTTAACTTTCAAACGCGTATAATTATGTGAACGTTATTACAGATTGGCTTAGCAAAATAAATCCCGTTCCTGACGAAACCGTCCCTTAATCTTAATCTCTTAATCTTATTTAAACTTTTGATTCTAAAATAACTAAAAAAAACTTTAATTTCTAGAAAAAAACATCTTAAAGATTGACCTTCTATAGTCTTTATGTTGTTGAGTTAATTGGATTAAAGCAAAATAAACGCCAAATTGTTGAGAAATACTGATTCTAGAGATTTCAATGACATATTATATCTATCGTTTTAAATAATGAAAATACTACATACTGCCCCTTTAATATTATCGGACTGAAAAAAGATCATAAAATAGTTGACAAGTTCGTGCTACCGATATTGATTGGAAGTGACACATGGTTTAATATACGTGGCAATACAAACTGAATAATTCAACACTTCTCAATGCAAATTGTTAATACATGTATATGTTCTGATAGCAGATTAATTTGTCGTTTGAATCAAATCCATTATGGTGGCTAGGAGTCTCAAATAAAATGAAATGGAGTTTTACGTCCTTCTTTTTTGAGAACGGACAAAAACAGTGACGACACTGAGGGAGGATTTTACCAAGACAGCGATATTAACCTACTGGAATCTTAAATGTGCACATGGGAACTCGGTAATTTTTCCCGTTTAAACGAATTGACATATTTCTATGTCGGTCCGCCCGATTCTCAAGATAGACGTTATGTGTCATTATGGTCAACTTACCATCCACACTAACGATAAAAGTCCATCCTTCCATTTGGGGCAGTGAATAATTGTATTCATTGTATGAACCATTATGAGCCAATTCGTTGTATGAACTTGTATGAGCCAGGGTCCACAAAATTGTCGCAATTCTTTGCCTGTGCAAAAACGTGGGATTTTAGATTCAAATATCGTATGAGGTGATCAAAACGACCCTTGTCATACGATAGTGGTTACCCATACTCATATATCATTCACGATTTTATGCGTATGTTCATATTTACGAAACAATCCGTATTTAGAAGCGTGCAGATTGGCCGCTTTGAAAACCAAGGAACATCAATGATATTTATCATCTCGGTCAGCGTTTCGTGATGAAGTGAAACATGGTAAAAATATGTGATACGTTTGGAATGTGATTACCTTGGTTTATACCATAGGTAAGTAATACAACTTTGCCGAGTTTCGCTAGCATGGCAGGCTATGATCACACTTCGGTTACGCGGTCTCTCTGCTAATGGGTTTCTCAATCGCCACCTCTTTCAGGGAGTGTACACATCAGTTTTCATTTTTGTATTTTGAAAAATAAAGCATTTTGAATGAGTAGAATTTATATTTATTGCATGCATGTATTTCAACAATAAATATACATATGATATGACGTAATAGAGAAGGTATATAATAATCACGAAACACCATAATTATCGTAACTTAGGGAAATATAAACTATTAAGCGATTTGAGATTTCAAAAATTAAACATAGTATATCTGAAGACAGAAGAGTGTTTATATTCCAAGAGTGTTTATATCCAAAAAGTTTTTATATCCAAAGAATGTTTATATCCAAAGAATGTTTATATCCAAAGAATGTTTATATCCAAAGAATGTTTATATCTGAAGAGTGTTTATATCTGAAGAGTGTTTATATCTGAAGAGTGCTTATATATGAAGAATGTTTATATCTGAAGAGTGCTTATATCTGAAGAGTGTTTATATATGAAGAGTGTTTATATCTGAAGAGTGTTCATATCTGAAGAGTGTTTATATATGAGGAGTGTTTATATCTCAAGGGTTTTTATATCTCAAGAGTGTCTTTATCCCGATAGTGTTTATATCCCATGAGTGTTTATATCCCAAGAGTGTATATATCCCAAGAGTGTAAATATATCAACAGTGTTCATATCCCAAGAGTGTTTATATCTCAAGAGATTTTTTTTATCCCAAGGATGTTTATATCCCAAAAATGTTAAAGAAGGTTTATATCTGTAGGGTGTTTAGATCTGAAGGGTGTTTATATCTCAAGAGTGTTTATATTTCAAGAATGTGTTATATCTGAAGAGTGTTTATATATGAAGAGTTTTTATATCTCAAGAGTGTTTATATTCAAAGAGTGTATATGTTCCAAGAGGGTTTATATCTCAAGAACGTTTATATCCAAAGAGTGTTTATATCCAAAGAGTGTTTATATCCCAAGTGCGTTCATATCTCAAGGGCGTTTATACCGCAAGAGCGTTTATATCCCACGAGTGTTTATATTTGAATGGTGTTTATATCCCAAGAGTGTTTATATGTTCAGAGTGTTTATATGTTCAGTTTATATGTTCAGAGTGTTTATATGTTCAGAGTGTTTATATCCCAAGAGTGTTTATATACCAAGAGTGTTTACATCTCAAGAGTGTGTTTATATCTGAAGAGTGTCCATATCTCAAGAGGGTTTATATCCTAAGATTGTTTATATGTCTTGTCTGTATATAAAGATGATAAACAGATTGATAAACAGATTGATAAACAGATTAATAAGCAGATCGATAAACAGACTGATAAACAGGCTGATAAACAAACGGATAAACCGACTGATAAACAGATTGATAAACCGACTGATAAACAGATTGATAAACCGGTTGATAAACAAACGGATAAACCGACTGATAAACAAACGGATGAACCGACTGATAAACAAACGGATAAACAGATTGATAAACCGACTGATAAATAGATTGATATATGGAATGTTTTGAAAAGAAAGTAATGAACATTAAAAAATCAACAATCTGAAACAAAAAAGATATTCGGTATAAAGTTATATAATTGAGCTTAATTTTCACGTTTGGTATTGCGTTTGGTTCCACGGAAGGCTCGGCGCCAATCCTGAAGTCCGTTGCTGAAATATGAACCGTAATTTCCAAATCCATCGGGGGATACACTCAGTTGCCTTTTAGCTTTGGCATTTCTGTAAACGTCTTCCCAGTTCACGAATCTGCCGGCACCGTCCTGGAATCCAAATCCGCCATTTCCGCCTCCGAAATTTCTCTTGACCATCCATTCGTACCAGTCTTGGTATTTACCGTCTGATGAGGGATATCCGCCAAAACTACTCTGTTTAGCATCGCCCAGGCCAGATACACAATTTATGAGGACAATTGTTGCTATCAATGTTGTAACTGCCATTAATATGGTTTTGTCCATCTTGAATGACTGAGGTGGTCTGAAATGATACAAGACAGAAAAGATACAAAAATATGACAGGGACTGGAAATGAAGTGGAGACTTGTGTATTGGTATAAGTCTAACTAATGTTTACTGTCGTAAACTAATGTTTGCTGTCGTAAACTAATGTTTGCTGTCGTAAACTAATGTTTGCTGTCGTAAACTTATGTTTGCTGTCGTAAACGAATGTTTGCTGCCGTAAACTAATGTTTGCTGTCGTAAACTAATGTTTGCTGCCGTAAACCAATGTTTGCTGTCGTAAACTAATGTTTGCTATCGTAAACTAATGTTTGCTGTCGCAAACCAATGTTTGCTGTCGCAAACCAATGTTTGCTGCCGTAAACTAGTGTTTGCTGTCGTAAACTAATGTTTGCTGTCGTAAACTAAAGTTTGCTGTCGTAAACTAATGTTTGCTGCCGTAAACTAATGTTTGCTGCCGTAAACTAATGTTTTTCTGTCGATTGCTGCCGGTTAAGAAAATATTTGCTCCTTACGACAAAGGCCTAGCCTAATAATATTAATGATGACTACGCTGAAATGGTAGCCACAAGACTATTTTGAGAAAAGTGGTAGCGTAGCTTCAGAAATAATACACAATACAGAGGACAAACACATAATATTATCGCAAATATTTTGAAATGAACCCGAGTATTACGGAGGACGACTACTCATACAAAAATAAGATAGGGACTGTTTTGAAATGAAACGGAGTTTTACGTCTCACATGAGACTATAGCAGGGAGGGTGGTAGCACGACTTCAGAAATGATACATAATACATAATACACAGTGGAAATTTATCGGATATGATCGGAACTATTTTGAAATGAAATGGAGTTTTACGTCTCATATGAGACTATTGTAGCGAGAGTGGTAGTATTGCTTCAGAAATAATACACAAAGGAAAATACCAGATATGATCGGAACTATTTTGAAATGAAATGGAATATTACGTCAGTCTTTAGACTATTGTAAGTCTTAGACAAGACATACTGTTCCGGGAATAGAACGTCTTTCACAGTTAAATTCTATTAAATGTACTTCTCTGTAACGTGTTGCCATGCGAAAAAAGTTTTGCTTGTAGACAAAAAATTTACCTTTCAGCAAATTATTTGCGTTAACATAACTCAAAAATATTTGAATACGCCATATGCAATCAATTTTCCCACAAGACAAGGGCAGTAACTCCAAAAACAATCATCTAATGCAGGAGGCTTCAAGCTTGATCTTTCTATTACTCGTTTCAGGATTTTTGATCGATTGCATTATCCTAATTACCCTAGATATTCTAACTATTTAGTGTTTTTTTCTTAGGATTTCCCTGAAAACTTTTTTATATCCGAAAATATAGCCTGTTTGAATAGAACTATTTACATTATAATTGGAAAAATTTTACGCTCGACGCATTACCCCCCTAAAAATTTCAAAATTACCCTCTTGGGTTGAAGATTCCTGATCTAATGTTTTATAAAATTGGGTATAGAGTTCGACCAGTGTGCAAATTAGAACGATTTCATTTCTTTCTAAAATCGATGACAGACTTTCCAGTTTCTTTTTTTAATCTTTTAGATGCCATCAACTAACCTAATATCTTTATTCTTCAAAACTCAGGAGATAAAACACGTTAAAGCCGACATAGTTCAATTTTAAACATCTTACAACTGTCAATAATTCACTCTCCGATGAATAACACTTTATATTACTACAGACATTTGATAGAATGTAAAATGTCGAAACATTGACGTCTTGATAAATTCAATTCTAATTTCAAAGAATAATTATGAGCAAAAACAAAGTATATATGTCCTTTCACTTGTTTTTTATGATAGTCGAGTATGTCTGGGTGACAATCATTTCCCGTAGACTCGATTTGTCGTACAGTCCTTTGAAAATAAAAATATTGACTACACAGGGACAACCATCTTCACAGCGTCATGTGTTACAATCTCCGTCTAATACCTTTACATCATTAGGCACTTTTCTTGTATAATGTTTTCAGAAACTCATTTTCTTCTGTAAATCAAACAGAAGTTCACAACACAGACATGAACTACTGTAGTTGATAAACGTGCAGTCATACATGCGTCAAAGTCTCTGATTGACTGTTTTCACTAGCAAACAATCCAATAAAATCACAAACTCCAGTGATACAAGAAAAGTACCTAATGATGTCATGAGCTCTAAAATCATTAAAAAATGCTTAATGATGTCAAGGTATAACACAGAGTTGGTAAAGCTTGTGTTACATGATAGGTGTGTGATGTAAAAACAGAGTTCCTAAAACGTCTGTGATACAAGAAAAGTGTCTAATGATATCAAGGTATTAAACCGAGTTCGTAAAACTTGTCTTACACGAAAAGTTCAAAATGATATCAAGGTATTATACGGAATCCGTAATATGAAAAGTGTCTAATTATATCAAGGTATTAGACGGTGTTTGTAATACCTATACTTTGTGAAGATGAGATAAATTGATAATGTGACATGGTTAAATGTATAACAGTCTGGTAAGCAAACAAACAAACGACTTGTGATATCAAAATAACCGTAAAGCTATATCTGGTTGATATCTTAATCATTTCACTGACTTCACAGCAGACATCTTACATCACAAAACATGACGGTAATCATCGCCAGTTGAAAATAATTCTTCTATTTATATCTCACAAAACTTGATCTTTAAATGTAACTACCTCTTAAGATGAAAACAAATTGAAATCTTTAAACTTGTTTAAACTTTAAATTGGTGTTAAAACTATTTGACAGAATCCCTCTATAATCTACGGAGCCCCTTAGGCGCAATTTTCCTTACTCTAATAAAATATTTCGTTTTAACGAAATAAGTCCACTAAATCCATAAAACTTACGAATAATCCATTAAACTAAGTAATTCCATTTTTCAGTCAGACGTATGGGATTCTTGCATTTCCACTAAAATAAGCTTTTTTTTTGTCCGTCTCATGAATTAGTTCGGAATTCTAATTTATTCCAGTATTCATCATCTTATGGATTACGAAATTGAAAGTATATATCGACATCTTCTTGTAATGTGAAGAAACATCTTTATTCGCCGTCACAATATGATATAAATGTGAGAATTGGTATGAGGGGTGAGAGCAGATACTGGGTCGACTTCGAAAGCACTGGCACAGGAATCAGCATTTTTCTTACCATGAGGAGGATTCGAACCCACGGCACCTAATGGACTGGCAGACGACAATCCAACACGCTACCGACTGAGCTATGAGGTATCACCTTAAACTTTTTAATATGGTATATTTGTAACTAGACAGTTTGAAGAACAATTAGCCTAGTGGATTAAAGACTGTTTGAAAAGAAATATACAGGAAAGATTATGTATTAGTGAGGTATATGACTAAAGTAATTAATGTAAGGCAGACAACATTTTATATCCCTCTTTCTTTGAAGAATAATCAAACTCTGAAACTTTTATAAGGTGACGTAGCCAACTATAATGTTTTGCCTCTCCTTTGAAATCTAACAAATCTTTTACCACAGTCCCGTTCTAATGACGTCATGTTTTTTTTTTAACCAATCAAAGCGTTTCACGTAGAACCCGTTTTCAATTGTGAGATAGCGGAACCCAATTAAGTACAATCCGACAGCCGCTTTGGGTTTCGCTCTCACATAAATCGTTATTGTTTTCTACGGATTCTATAGGAAACGCTTTGATTGGTTAAAAATAAATCTGTGGTAAAAAAAAACTTCTTAGATTTTAATAGAGAAGAATTAAAAGTATGATAATAAAAAAACATTTGGTTAAAAAACGTCATTAGAACATGGCTGTTGTAGACAACTTGTTAGATTTTAATGGGACGAGAAATATAGAAAACTAAAAAAGAAACGTAATTGTCGTACAGTGGAGCCGCGTTTATCCGGTTGCCGATAATCCGGAAACCCCGATATCCGCACGCTTTTTACTGGGAACGGAATATTTACTTTGTAAAAGTAACCGTTAATCCAGTGCTCCGGTTTCCGGTTCCGCACGGCTGTGATTGGGAACCAATTATCAAATTCTATAGTAAATAGTATTCATCATTCGGTCGCTTGTTACTGTGAGTTCTTCTAACTGGCTTCCGTATTAGCGTTTTTTTTATGTCGCGTAATTGGTGTTTAATAAATCCTCATTATGAGATTAAGGCGAATAATTGTTTGCCATCCGGGTGGCGAATATCCTCGGCCATTAATTTAATCACGTGTAAGCTATCTTTCGTTCAATCATACCTGAATACCATTTATCGGTCAGTTATACTTCAATGTCAATCTTTCGTTCAGTCATACCTGAATTCAATTATTGATACGGAACGCATCAAATGTTAGCCCTACTAAGTTACGGCACGGATATTCGTGTTTATATATCAGCGAAACTGGCTTCCCGATTAGTATTATCCGTTAATCGGTGTTTAATAAATCGTTATTTGAGAATATGCGGTTAATTTAATGATCTTTCGTTCAGTAATACTTGAATTCAATTTTTTTCGTTCAGTCATACCCGAATTCCATCATGGCTACGGAACACATCAAACATTATCACTACGATGATACGGCATGGTAATTTATGTTTATAAATTAGCGAATCTTAATTTTAAGGAATGATATTATTTTCATGCTATGATAGTGAAATAAAATGAAAAATTATAAACAATCGGGGTTCTTCACGACGTATTGGCCCTATAAAGTACACACATGTCACATATCACATGTTGCGTACGTGACATTTGACAGGTGTCCTTATAGAACTTATATGAAGGGATATAACTCTAGTTGTGGAATGACATGTTTCAACTATCCGGATTTTCGTTAAACCGCACGATTTTATCGGGAACGGGAATGTGCGGATAAACGAGGCTCCACTGTATTACACAATCTGTCAGCTAATTGGCAGCTTGTTGTTTCGGACTAACTTACTAACGAACGAAAAACATCATTACTGCAATTAATTCTGATCAAAAGTTTCGTTTGAAGACAAAAACAAAATCTGCCTTATCATTTGATATTGTAATTAGTTAATGATCAAACTAAGACGTTTTACCCTATCTTTGATCTTCAGTTTTAATTAAACTAATTTCTCGTCTTCTCTCGATGACCTTTTCTACTAATTGGAAGTAAGTTTGTCGAACAAGATGTTCGCTTTGTTTCTATGTTGTCTAATAGTAATTAATCAAGCTATAGAGTATGTCTTTAAAGGGCAACAACCGATATTTGCGCGGGTTGATGTGGGTCTTGAATATTATCTAAATAGTCTTCAGAAGTTCTAGAAATGTACAAAATTTGCACAATTTCTTCAAAAATATGTCAAACTAGAAATTTCACTTAACATGTCTTACTTATCTGATCTGGTAGAAAAGGCGAGTCGTCAACTCAGGATGAATACACATTGATAAGAAGACTCAAATTTCAACGATGAGCTGTGAACACTAAGTAGCTTAGCCCTTTCCTATACATACTTACTATTACTATAAATCCTTACTATTACTCCCCGTCCGCTATAAACCCTTACTATTTTATGTAAATCCTTACTATTACACCTCTTCCTTTATGAATCCTTACTATTACTATAAATCCTTACTATTACTATAAATCCTTACTATTACGCCCCTTCCGCTATAAATCCTTACTATTACTATAAATCCTTACTATTACTCCCCGTCCGCTATAAATCCTTACTATTACTATAAATCCTTACTATTACTATAAATCCTTACTATTACTCCCCGTCCGCTATAAATCCTTACTATTACTATAAATCCTTACTATTACTATAAATCCTTACTATTACTCCCCATCCACTATAAATCCTTACTATTACCCCTCTTCCTCATATAAATCTTTACGATTATTATAAATTCTTACTATTACCCACCCCCCCCCCTCCCTTCCGCTATAAATCCTTACTATTACCTATATCCTTACTATTACACCCCTTCCACTATAAATCCTTACTATTACTATAAATCCTTACTACTACGCCCCTCCGCTTTAAATCCTTACTATTACTATAAATCCTTACTATTACGCCCCTTCCGCTTTAAATCCTATTTCTATAAATCCTTACTATTACTATTAATCATTACTATTACTCCCCGTCCGCTATAAACCCTTACTATTTTATGTAAATCCTTACTATTACACCTCTTCCTTTATGAATCCTTACTATTTCTATAAATCCTTACTATTACTATTAATCATTACTATTACTCCCCGTCCGCTATAAACCCTTACTATTTTATGTAAATCCTTACTATTACGCCCCTTCCGCTATAAATCCTTAATATTACTATAAATCCTTACTATTACGCCCTTCCGCTTTAAATCCTTACTATTACCCCCCTTCCTTCTATAAATCCTTACTATTACTATTAATCATTACTATTACTCCCCGTCCGCTATAAACCCTTACTATTTTATGTAAATTCTTACTATTACACCTCTTCCTTTATGAATCCTTACTATTACTATAAATCCTTACTATTACATCCCTTCCACTATAAATCCTTACTATAACCCCCCTTCCTCCTATATATCTTTACGATTATTATAAATCCTTATTATTGCCCCCTTCCACTATAAATCCTTACTATTGCCCCCTTCCACTATAAATCCTTACTATTACCCCCTTTCCGCTATATATCTTTACTATTTCGTGATTTTCTCTTATCGAGAAATGCTTTTATACTTTTCCTTTTCGGCTGAAAGCCACGCCCAAATAATTTAAAATTTGTATTTGACAAGATACATGTAACTCCGCTTATATTGATTATATTGATTATCAATTTATCACACTAAATTTCAGTTTTGGCTAATCAAGTTAAATTTTGATTCCCATGTCCTCAGAACTTCAGATCGACCTTCAGAGTGACTTTGAGAGTTGCCGTTTCTTCCTTGATTTTGCAGAATTTTTTCACGAAAATTATACAATTTGATTTGATTCGTATATCATCGTGATATGGTCGTAATTTTGGCTAATCATAGAAAGTATTGGATGGGGTAATTTTGACTCGCAAACTGTGATGCGATACCGATTGAACCCGCACTTGTCACATTAAAGCACGACGTTAGTTATCCGTTTTACCGATCGTATTTTTGTCTCAGAAACGGGAATTTTTTTAGCTCAGGTAATCAGTAATAGTGTTCAAACCTCACAATCGAAATCTGAGCCTTTAAATACATGGTGTCTAGAATTATTCGTGTTTGAGACTATGATATTTAGAAAAGACATCTATAGAAATAGAAAGTGAAATTCCTAGTTTGAGGTAAATTTGAACGAATTTCTGAAGACTATTTACAATATATTCAAAAAACCCAAATCAACCACCGAAAATGGCGAATCTGCCTATGTAATAGTTTTGACTAATATAATTTATACCATTATTATTCGCCTTTAATGGGACTTAAAAAAAGGCATTCAACTTTACAATAAAACTGGTTAAAAAAGAACAAATATATCACAGCAACAAAAACCTAACCAATTAATATTGCTAACAGAGTTTTTGTGTATAAGTGCGTTCACTTAATGAATACTGCATCATTTCAGGTCGTTGGTTCCTGTCGTGATTATTCAAATGCATATTTCAATCTTCAGAATTAACCAGCAAAAACCGTGTAAATCATGCCACTGAATATACATGTGTTTTCAATGTTATGTTTTTTGTTACCGTTATAAGAACTAACGACGCCAAGATGTGTGCAAGTGAATAAAACATTAGCGAAATTATTGCTTATGAAAAAATGAAATAAATTGAATGGAGTTTTACGTCCGAATTTTCTGCACCTAATTGGACTAATGAATGACGGTCGAAAATCTTCATGCTTCACTGTCCCTCTTCATTTGCCCAATCAGGTGTGGGAAAATATGACGTAAAACTCCATTCATTC